AGAATAGTCCTCTCATGTTGGTTCTATAAGTAAGGAAAGCAACAGAGGCACAGGGGGGTGAAGGACAGCAAAGGCTGAGCTGGCCAGGTGTCAGGACTAGGGTCGTGATCCAGGGCCATCAAAGCAGACGTTAGGATTTCTTTGCCTGACAGAGACATGTGGCGTGGTCCATCAGGGAATGTGCTGCAAACGCAAAAGCTGTGTCTCTCGTCACAGGAGAAAGATGAGCAATTGTCTCCTGTGTGACGTATACCCTCAGAAAACAGAGGGTCGGCTAGGAATCGGTTCAAACGTCAGAGCAATGAGCTGTGTGAGAAGAATCCGCACCTGGAGTATCTCAGAAGCCGTGAAGAGAAAGGATGGAGGGCTGCTGCTGCTGCCAACCCACAGAGAGGAAGAGGGACTCTAGAGGTGCTGCCTGGCCAGGGACCCCTGAGGACAGGGGAAAGGGCACTCTACACCATGGTTGCTGGTGGACATGAAGCCAAATCAAAGCCAACCCATGGGGTCCAGTGGACTTGGACACAGTGATCCTGTGGGAAGGAGCAGAACTGCCCCAGGCCTCCCAAGGCTGTAAGTTTTCATACAGCAGACTGAGAAGTTCAAACCACTAACATTTTGCTTAAAGCTGAGTGCCTTAATCACAGTGCTACCAGAGCTCCAAGTGCTCCCAGAAGTCATTTATCAAGCCTAGCTGCTTTAGAAACATTAACATCACTGAGGTCTGCACTAAAGGCAGGTGTGCACACTGAAAGGCAGCATGGGATGGATACAGAGGCTGGGAATTTAGAATGAAGCCGAAAACCTAGGCCCCACGCTCTCTCTCCTGTTCTGACTCAGGCAAACCTCCACCAGCTTTCTGAGACAAACTCTTTATGGGATCAGACTGCCTCGTTCTGTCCTTTGAAGCTGCTGTGGATTCTAACTGCCAGCCTTCCAGGTAGCAGCCCAACACGTAACACATCTTTGCCACCACAGCTAAGCAGAGTGGTACTCAACTCCTGGCTCTGCCATTTGCTACCTGTGAGGGTAAAAAAATGATAAAGAAAACTCTCCTTGAGCCTCAGTTGCTCCATCTATGAAATGGGAATAGCAGTAGTGACCACTTAATGTTGTGAGGCTTAAGTAAATCCATCACCTCCAATGCCAGTCTCAAGAGAGACACTTCCTAAACACCTGCTCCCCCACAGATATCTAGACCTACAAGGGTCTATGTACTAAACTGGCTCAGATGCCTGGCTTGGGCCTCAGGGGGCACCATGGGTACCACCTCCTGCTGTTTTAACTTTCCATCTCAGGCAGATATCTTACACCTCCCATCACTTGCACCAAGTTCACTCCAAGGGATAATCCTACGAGTGGTTTTGAACCCACAGTGACCCTCCACTGGGTTTCCAAGGCCGTAAAACCTCACAGGAGGAGACTGCCCATCTTTCTCATGTGGAGTGGCTTATGGATTCAAGCCTGTGACTACTGGTTTAACAGTCCCATGTGTTACACACAGTTCTTGCTGTGAGAAGTTAGAAAAGAGAAAATGAAAACGGTTTCCTTCAAGTGTGAGATAACCCTTCACTCCAATCTCCAGCTCTCCTTTGCGTTTATGGAGGTTGCTAGGGGGTCAGATTCCTGGGGGAGTCTCCCCTAGAAAAGCCTACTGAGGTGGTTAAATTGATTGCTCTGTGTGCAGAGACCTTTGGGGCCAGATGTGCCCTGCACCTCCCAGGCCTGCTGACGTGAAGACAAGTGCTGGGCAGTGTCAGCAGCTGACCCTTTGCACAGGACGGTGTTCAGACACCATCCTGAAAAGGCGGGTGTGGAATCTGGGGGCTCATATGCTGGCAGAGAGGACGCCATCTCTCCACGCAAACGTGAGGCTGCAGGCAGGCTGCCCTCCCGCAGTCCTCTGCACCATCCCCAGCCACCTGGCTGGGGATCACCGCGTCAACGGGCCAGTCTCGTCGGGGATGCTGCAGGCATGCAGCTGCCTCTCTGGGTGGCATACACAAACAGGTTTATTCGGGAGAAAGCATAATGCTTGTGAGGCCGGCCACAAACCCGAAGCCAACCCACCTCCACAGAGTCAATTCTGACTCACAGCGACATGTGGGATGGTGCAGACCTGCTCCATGAGGCCTCCAGGCTGTAAGTCTTAATGGAAACGGCCTGCCTCACCTTTACTCTGCAGGGAGGATGGTAGATTTGAACCACTGACCTTCAGGTTAGCAGCTGAATATTTTAACTATGATGCCACAGATATCCCTAGTCAGGCTGGAAATGCGAAAAAACTCTCTTTACACAGGCAGACTTAGCCATCTGAACTCCCAGCTAAAAGTGAAGCTGCCCAGTTCTGCAGGCTTCTCTCATTTCTAACTGGATGTCTGGAGTGACTAACCAAGTCCAAGTTCACATTCTTAAGGAATGGAGTGAGCAGGTTGCTTGGTTTGGTCCTTTTTTTTTTTAGCTTTAATTTACATAGCAGATCAGTCTCCTATTCAGTAACTGACACCCATTTTGCTCTGTGACATTGTTGCAATGTGCTCACTGTCACAGTACCCATCCCACTCCTTCTCCGGGCCCCAGTTTCTAGTCATCTTTTCCCCTGTCCCAGATGAGCTCTAGTTTTGCTGGTCCTAATGTTTTAACCACACAGGTCATGGACAAACAGTCTGAATAAGCAAGCTCCCGACTCACATAATTTCGTGCTAAAGAATGAAAAATGCCCATGATCGATCCACAGTTCCTTCCTGACAGGAGAGAAGGAGGAAGGATTGTTTGCAAGTCTCAACATCTTTTGTTTCCTTGTTTTGGGACAACACACTGACAGGTTGGAGGAGACACTTTTTTATTTGACAAATATTTGTTGCAAGCCCTCTTAGAGTGATGCCCTGGGCTGGGTCTTCACGCAAATCTTTTCTATCTAGAAAGTTCTGTCTCTACCGCGTGTCTTTGGATCTGTCTGTAAAGGGAAGGAAACGGGTGGCAGCTGGTAGCTGTTAGGAGTCATACACAGTGCACTTGATCTTACAGATTTCTTTTGCTCATTGTCAGTCTGTGTTTGCTGTGATACAAGCTCTTTAAGTCACAACACTGGGAGTCATGGTGGAAAGTACAGAAAAGAGGACAGCATCTGAAATTAGGAATCCACTTTTCTGAGAATGAAGCATCATTTCAATAACCTTCCTAGTGGAGTATTCTTTCCTTAGCTCCTCAGACCATCCGGTTCCCTGGGAGGCGGAGGCCTGGGGTTCCTCATATTCTCGGGAAAGAGTTTGAAGGGGCCCATGCCAAAATATTTGCTCCCCTTTGTGGCTCAACTTTCAGCCAAAATTATACAGACCCATGAGAAGACTAGTAACAGCAAGGAGACATTGCTTAGAACCCCGAGCGATATGAGCTCAAAGGGCAGCATCTGCCCAGAAAGGAAGTTCAGAAGGCAGAAAGTGGTAAAAAAGAATAGATGGAAATGGGAAAGCCAAGGAGGGAGCTGGACGAGTGCTGCTCTATTGTGGGGATGACAATCACTGTCAACAAACAGTGTGCATGAATTCTGGAATGGAAAACCCATTTACTAATCACAATAGAAAAAAAGTTACTAAGCAGAAACAATCTGGTGTTTAGGACAGCTTTAGTAAAGTCAACCCTTATGTCAAGTCCAGTACATGGTGATCCTACAGGACAGAGAAGAACTGCCTTTTCAAGGTGGTAAAGCTGTGGGATAGTGTGTTCTATGTCGTGCAGCTAACCCAAAGGTCATCGGTTCAAATGCACCCGCTGTTCCATGGGGGCAAGAGAGGCAATATATATTCTTGTAGATTTACAGTCTTGGAAACTGGAGGGAAGCTGCTGGATGTGTTGGAAATGAACCTAACAGCAGTGCATTTGATTGTTTGGTTTAATCTTTAATGGATTATTTCTTTAGAGAAATCTTTCTGTCGTGGAGCTGTTGGTGGATTCGAACCGCTCACCTTTACCTAAACACCTGAGCACGTAGCCACTGCCCTCGCATACAGAGTGGTCACACTCCAAGGCCCTGGGAGCCCTGGACACTTTTCCCAGATGCCGTCTCCAAAAAATTATTAAAAACGATCTTTTATGATTGTCTTGGTATAAAACTGATATCATCAAAGCTGACTTGTACTCATTTATTCCCCTCGGATTTTAAAAGAAATTAGAGCATTTTCATGAGCTTCAGGCACTTTGCCTTCTTCTTTGTAGCCAGCCTGTCGTTCAAAAAAGTTATTAAATATTATCTTTCTTGGTTGCTTTGGTTTAAGGACGACTATAAACTAAGTCGGGTTATTTCAATTTTCCTTTCGGATTGAACATTTTGGTGTTTCTGTATGGGCCTCTTGAAGTCTTGGAGCAGCCCTGGTCATGCAGAGCAGTTTGAACCCACCAGTGACTGGGGTGGAAACACGCAGCCGACCCACTTGCATGATGATGGCCTTGGGAAGCCCAAGGGGCAGGCCTCCTTCTGCACATCGGGCCACTGTGAGGCGGAATCGACTTGATGGCACCCTTCTGGCGCCCTAGTGGTAAGAAGCTGCACTGCAATCCCCGAGACAGGCGGTTTGAATCCACCAGCTGCTCCGCAGAAGTAGGATGGGCAGTCTCCTCCTATGCGATTAAATATTGAAAATCCACTGGAGGGCCAGCTATGTGTCAATTCCGACTTGGTGGTACATAACCCCACCAATAATAAAACACTCGTTATTGTTAAGAACCGATGAGTCGGAGCTGCCCCACAGCCGACCCTCCAGGGGCTGTGAACCACACGGGAGGACGCTGCCAGTCCTTCTCCGCGGCAGAGAGTGGATTCTAGCCTGTGCCTCTGGGATGGCAGCCAGCAGGCCACCAGATCTGGGCTGGGCCATATTCACTTTTCCATCTGCCTGAAAAGGCACTGGAGCAATTCTGGGGACGTGTCTCCCCAACAATCACGTGCGCCCCAGGTGCTGAGTGTGTTGGGGACCCCCGGGTGCTGCCCCGCAGCCACTCACCTTGTCCTCCTCGGCCCTCAGGTCGGGCATGGTGCTGATGCACAGGCTGACCGCCGTGGTGGCCACGAAGAGGATGGAGAGGCACGCGAAGACCTTGCCGGGCAGTCCCGACTGCGGGTTGTCCACCATCTCGCGCAGCCGGTGCATGAGCAGCCCCCAGCGCGAGGGTGCAGGCCCGGGCCTGCGCGCCTCGGGCGGCGGGTTCGAGGCCTCGGCTCGGCGCAGCTCCGCCAGCTCCTCCCGCCGCTGCAGCAGCGCGCGCAGACAGCAGCGCTCCAGGCGCGCCTCGTCAATGCCCCAGTAGGCCAGCTCGTCGCGGAAGGACAGCGCGCACATCTCGCGCAGCAGGACCAGCTTGCCGGCCGCCAGGAAGCTGGCGATGGCCCCGAAGGCGCTGGGGCTGCGGTCGAAGAAGAACTCGCGGCTGTCCTCGTCGTAGTCGTCGCACAGCTGCGTGATCTCCTCGTAGCTGCGGCACAATTTGAGCTTGCTCAGCCGGCTCAGCGGGAAGTCGTCCAGCGTGCTCCAAGGCAGCAGGTAGCGCCGGCCGCCCACGTTCACCAGGATCTCCTCCTCCAGGTCGGCCGCGGGGCGCGCGCGCGGGGTGCCCACCTTGCGGACCCGGCGGTAGTAGAGGCCCTTGGTGGACGGCGGCTCCTCGGGCCCCAGCTGGCTCAGGGGGCTGCAGGAGCCGTAGAGGGGGTCCCCGGAAGGCAGGGCCATGGCCGCGTCGTCCTGAGCCGGGCTGGCTCTACCCGTCTGCGGCCAGGGGAGGGAGAGACAGGGGACAGCAAGGGTCAGTCTGGGGCTCAGAACCCACGCCCTCAGGAAGGGGTTCTGGAGTCATGTTCCGTACAGCCCGGCTAACACCGGTCATTCTTTTAACCGCTCATTCAGCATGTACACGTGGGAGGCGATATGCGAGCGCGGGCGACGACATCTATGCGTGGGAGGTGACGTACATGCGCAGGCGTCTATGTGCAGTGAGCTGAGGCAGCGTTTATGCGTGGGAGGTGACATGTATGTGCAGGTGGTGATGTGTAGTCGCAGGAGGCGACGTGCGTGCGTGGGAGGCGATATCTATGCGTGGGAAGTGATGCGCATACGTGGAACTCAATATCTATGCCTGGGCGCCTTCACAGGAGACATCTACGGGAAGGTGTGTATGCACAGGAGGCGAGGTGCATGTGTGGGAGACGTCTATTCGTGGGAGCTGATGTGGAGGCAATGACATGTATGCGTGGGAGGCAATGTGTCTGCGCGGGAGGCGTTATGTATGCATGGAAGGTGATGTGTGTGCAGGAGAGGCTCCATGTTGGTATGAGAGTGACATATATGCATGGGACCTGGAGGCGACGTATATGTATAGGAGGTGACATGTATGCATGGGAGGCACTGAGCCCACTTGGACCCCCCATCAGCACCCATGGAAGCTTTTTGTTGTTCTTAAATGCCACGGAGCTCACCATGCTCACAGTGGCCTTGTGAACAACAGAGCTGAACTCTGTCCTATCCTCAGCATCCTGTCCTCACCATCTCTGATCTAATCGAACCCATTGTTATAGTCACTGTGTCAGTCCTTCTTGTTGGAGGTCTTTCACTTACTGACCTTTCCTAGAATGATGTCCTTTTCCCAAAGACTGGATCCTAAGGACAACATGCCAGTTTCTGTAATATGAAAATCCCGTGGAAGCAGCGGTCAAGAAATCAAAATGCATGTTGCACTGTGCAAGTCTACTATTAAGGACCTTTTTAAAAGTGCCAAAGAACACCAATATTGATTTGAGGCCCAAGGAAAATCTGACCCAGGGCATGGCATTTTCACCAGCTTCCTATGCATGTTGGGCCCTGGTCATCAAAGTTTGCCAGTTTAAATCCACTAACCTCTCTTTGGGAGAAAAATGGGCAGTCTCATTTTTGTTTTGTTACATTTTTAATTTTCAAGGCTAGGGTACTTTTAATTTATTTTCAGTTTTTTCAAACTAATTTTCGAGTGAAGATTACAAATAATACTGATTTCTTCTCATAGATTCATTCATGGCCTTTTTGTTTTTAGAGAATTAAGTGCTGTGTTTCATGTGGACGCTTTATTGCGGGTTCTAATCGACCCTGTATTGTGTGCCGCCTTTCCCTTCACTGACTTACCTAGTTATCAATTTTTCTTCACCTAAAGATTTACAGCCTCAGAAACCCAACGGACAGGGTTTCTGAGGTTGACTCAGAATTGACTCGATGGCAGTGGATTTACAATGTGTTGTCTGGTGGCACAGTGCATTTTATGTTGGGCCATTAACCAAAAGGTCAGCAGTTCGAATCCACCAGTCGCTCTACAGGAGAGATGTGGGCTATTTCCTCTCATAAGGATTTGCAGCCTTGGAATCCCCATGGAGGGTCGTCAGGAGTCGGCATGGACTCAAGACCATGTCCTTGGGCACAGGCACCACCTGTCATTGGAGGCTGGCGTGTTGCTCACTGAACCAGTTTCCACATAATTTCAAGACTAAGTAATAGGCGGAAAGGCCTGGGCATTTACCCTGCAGATGGGCCAGTGACAACACCATCGGATGACACGGGTCCATTCTGATGGTGCGGGGCCAGGCAGGGCTTTGCTTCGCCATGCCACAGTCAGGGACCATCTGAATGGCAGCCCACACGTATCCGTGAACAAAAGAATACAACAGAGGGAAGGATGGCTAGACACTCCTATCCTGTGAGACTCTTCCTGGAATACGTTCCGGTTTCAAGTAACTGACTCCCAAGCTGGACTAGCCAGAGCCCTGCCCCTCTAAGCTGACTGTGGGGCCTGGGGTTGTGGCCTAACCATGCAGGTCTCAGTGGTCCACCTTCAGATATGGGGACGTGGACCTGTTGTGTGAGATGGGTGAGCAAGGACCAGCCTCGGCGTGTCCGTCCTCAAGCCCCTGCCCTTCCGGTGTGCTGTCCTGGGTGGTGGGTGGGCTTCTCCCATCTCACCCCTCCCTTGGCCTATGTGACTGGGACCGTGTAAGTGCCCACGCCATAGCAAACACTGAACATGAGAGGCGGCTAGATCCTGGTGTGGGTTACATTTCTAGATGCTTCCAATGGGCTGTGCTTCCCACCATGGATTCATCTAACAGACCCAGGAGGCAGACATTAGCATCTTCATGTCACAGGGGAGGATACTGAGGCACAGGGTGCTGAGTAACAGGTCTGATGTTTAATCTGACATCCAGAAAGTGCTAGTTCTAGAATGTTCTGTGAGACCCGCCAGTGATGTGCCCAGTACAGCTGTGACCCTTGGCAGAAATTCCACACTGCCAGCCTCCTCTTTTGCTTTCTCATTTGCAAAGACTTGACTAGGAGGGTTCAGGGTTGCTTCATGTCTCTGACAGCAGCACCCCTCTGGTTCACTGGGTACTTGTCTTGACACCCTTGCTGTGTGACCTTGAGCCAGTGGCTCCCCCTCTCTGTGCCTCAGTCTCTTTATTTGCAAAATGAAGGGGATTCTAATCACATTCTGTTTCAGACCTTCTGTGGCTCTCGGTTTAGGACGAGGGCTTTGGGGTCAGTGTCGTGAGTTAAAACACCTTCTCTGCAGTCACTCCCAGCCCACATGCCCACATCATCTCCTAGGCTTTCCTCCCCAGTTGGGGCTCTCGCAAAGCATCTATACCCTTGCATTGCAAGAGGCACTCCAGTCAAGAGGCAGACTCGCGGCTGAATGGAAATACAAGTTCCTCTCCATTTCAGAGCCAGCTGGATTCCCGCAGGCAGGCCGGGAGGAGGTGAATCACAGACCTGCATTCACACTTGCTTCCTCCCAGCCTCCTGGAATTCAGCATGCATTACTTTGTTCATCACCCGGGCAGCCGGGCAGAATGAGCAGAAGAGCTCTCTGAAATCTGGGGAGCCCTTCCTCCAAGTGTTCTCATTTTCTCAGGGCAAAATCCAAGGCTCAGAGAGTCCTAGTGACTTGTCCAAGGTCACACAGCAAAGCCCAGTCCAGCCTGGCTGCTGCCTCTTGCCTGAGCTCTTTGCTGATCACTGTCTGTCCTTTCTGTATTTGCAAACTCAACTTTGCAGAGCACTGCCCCCTCCTCCAAACAGCTGGCCCCAAAGCTTCTCAGCCTTCAGGGAAGAAAGATGTCCCCCCCAGAGAGCCCTCCCATGAAGAGGGTTTCAAGGTATCCAAGCACTTCCTATGCATCCACTCACCCCTGCAGGAAACGCCAACTTCCCCGAAGTTGGACTCACCTTCTTGTCTCTGGGAGCTTGATTCCGGCTGCTCCCTGGCCAGGCATGGGAAGCCCATGTCTGGGGGACTGGGTAAGAGGTCTGTGGGGGTGCTGAGGAGGGAGAGAAGAACCCCAAACCCAGCCGTCTCTGCTGAGTTAGCCTGCAACCTTTCCTCCCGGGCTTCCTCCAGAAAAGAGAAGTTCATTCATTCTGCGTCTCTTTCTACAGCAGCTGCAGAGTCCTAGGGGGTGAGTGGGTTTGTAAAGGGACTCAGAGGCCCCTCTCCTCCAGCTGGGGCTGGGCCTGGGGTTTCTGTACAACAAGCAGCCGGCTGAGTGAACTGGAAGGCTGTCCTGCTCCAGCGCTGGGCACTGTGCTCCGAGTCTCACGGGGACAGCAGTGTGGTCCTGCAAGGCGGGGGGGTGGAGAGAAGGGACGGGCTTAGGAATAATCTCTCCATCAGCCAGCAGCGGGCAGGAGCAGCGGCCTCCCTGCCAACTGCCGCGAGGAGCCAACCGTGCTCCCTCCCCTGCCAGGGAGGAGCATGACTTGGAAGCAAGGACAAGTTGGGATAGGGGCACCTGCGAGGCTCCTGGATGGGGGAGGGTGCAGACGATGGCAAGGGCCTCGGGTGGGAGCTATGAGAGAAACTTGTGCCACTTTCAGGCCTGGGCCATGTTCAGAGGCAGAAGCCCAGCCTCTGAGCTCAGCATCAGGAGGCTACATGAGAAAGTAGGAAGGGGCGTGAGCATGGCTGTCTACACACTCGACCCTGGGCTCCCGTGCACGTGGGTGTGTTAGGCTCAAACTGTGTCCCCTTACAGCAAAGGTTAAGTGCTAGCCCCCCACACCTGCCCACACCACGACCTTGTGTGGAAGGAGGACATCTGTTAAATTAATGAGGTTGGATTGGAGTAAAAACCCTCAAACCCACTGGGTCCATTTGGATTCACAGTGACCGTACAGGACAGCAGTGAACTGCCCCCTGCAGTTTCTCAGGCTGTGAATGGTTATGGAAACAGACTGCCTCTTGTTCTGTGGAACAGCAGGTGGATTCAAACCAGTGACCTTTCAATTAAGAGTTCAACACTTAACTCACTGGACCTCCAGGGGTCATACATTGGAATCAGGTGGGTCCCAATGCCTTCTAGGAGGTGACTCTGAATAGAGGTGAAGGGACTGACAGAGACACACAGAAGGGAGATGCTGTATGAGGACAAACCTCCAAGTCAAGGAATGTCCAGGGATGCTCAGGGCCACCTGCAGGTGGAGGGGCCAGGGGATGAGCTTTCCCGGAGCCAGCAGAGAGCACAAGGTCCGATTCAGGCTGCAGCCTCCACAGCTGTAAGAACACGAGCTTCTGATCTCAAAAGCCTCCTACCTCGTGGAAGTCCATTATGACAGTTCTACCTGTTGAAAATCAGCTGTGCGACCTTGAGTAGGTGACTTGGGGTCTCCAAGTTTCCGTTTTCTTAATTATGAAAACAAAGAGGGAAAAAAGGGGGAATTAGGCCCTGGTGGCCTAGTGGTAAGGAGTTGCA